TGCATCTCACACTAAACACTGTCAAGTTCTTTATGTAACAAATATCATAAATAGCATCCTAAATATAAAAAAGTCAGTAGAAAAATATTAATAACAGCATTCATTCATATTTTTTCTCGTACTTTGAATCATGTAAACAGTCTTAAAGGGCGTAAACGTAACCGTGCCACTGAGCGCTGCACCTCACACAATCATTTCCTGATCAACACGAACTTTAGTCTCTATTATTTGCGACTGTTTTTTGAGACCATATTTTTGTCGACCTTTAAAAGTTGATCATCTGGAGGTAAACTTCCAATAATGTTCCCACCACCAGGAGTTACTTCAACATTCACCATTTTGTCCTAACTTGTCCAAACAAAACACATCCGAACCAAACTCAGACTTATTTCAAAAAACCACATGTAAACCTGATGCCGTCTGAGGAAGCAAATCACCGAAGTCATGAAAATTCTTCACCGTAAACGTCCAGATTTTGTACCAATTCATCAACAAGGCGTTGAAATAAAACCGATAAGTGAAACGTGTGTGTGGTCGAGGGTTCACATCCTCTGAGCACAGTGCAAAGTATATATCTGTTGTTGTTGAACCAAAGTGACTCTCCTGCCTCCAGAGTTTTGCTGCTGATTCGCTGCTGCATGAAAATCTTTTACGTTAACAGTGGTTAGGAAGACATGAGCCGCTGCTTCTCACTGTCTGCCGCAGCGCGGGAGTTTTAGAGATCGTAGAACTCTTTTTGACCAATTACAGAAGACTTTTAGCCGTTCAGAGATCTCGATGGAGAACTGGAGAAGGTCGAAGGCCGAGGAGACGACAGGGAGGGAGGGAGCCGGCGGCTGAGGCGTCTCTGCACTCATCTGAAGACACAGAAACCATCAGAGGTAAAACCAGCGGCGAACTCACACTCAGACTTTTGATAGATGAATGGACAGAATTTAGGAATCATACATGAACCTGATTTAGATTCTTCTCATATCTATCTATCTATCTATCTATCTATCTATCTATCTATCTATCTATCTATCTATCTATCTATCTATCTATCTATCTATCTATCTATCT